GAGGTAAGACTAACAGGCCTATAGATTCCTGGGTCCTCCTTCCTCCCTTTTTTGAAAATGGGGACCACATTGGCCCTTTTCCAGTCATCAGGCACCTGACCAGAGCACCACGAGTGCTCGTAAAGCTGTGCCAGGGGTCCCACAATGACCTCTCCCAGTTCCCTCAGCACTCTGGGGTGGAGATCGTCAGGACCTGCTGATCTGAACACATCTAGTCCCTCCAGAAGTTCCCTGATTAGGTCCTCATTGACCCTGGGCCTGGCAGCGCCTCCCCTGGGTCCGTCTGGATTCCCGGGGTGGGGAGGGTGTTCCCTGTTGCCTGCTCAAAAAGATGGAGGCAAAGAAATTGTTAAAGTGGTTAGCCTTGCCGCCTGGTGCCATCGACAGTGATTAGCTTTGTCGACTGGCCTTTGACGGCGTACTCCAGCACTTGGGAATAGGTATATCTTGACATCGGTGCTTAATGTTCATAGCTAGCTACTGTGAGTGTGTGTGTGAATGTGTGTGTGTGTTTGAGGGGATCAGCCCCAAGGTTTATGATCTGAATTTTGCATCCATCTAATAAACTAGAATTTTATGATGATCCTGTGAGTTGGTCTTTTGTAGCCAACAACTGTGTAGTTTTGCAAAATATTAGCAAAACTACATGAGATTAGACGAAGGATTTGTATAGGAGGATAGTCTATCCAAAGCATCCTAAAAAAATCCTTTTTTCTAATCTCCAGGATAGGGATGATCCTGCCTCAGGCAGGGGGCTGGACTAGATAACCTCTCAAGGTTCGTTCCAGCCCTGCTTCTCTATGCTTCTGTGAACAAGGGCTTGTGTAAAATTCTACATGGAAACACAAACGGTATCAGAGAAATGATCAGGTAGCCAACAGACAGGAGAGATGCAGTGAAAACCTAAAAAGTGGAAGAGCACTTCACGTAGAAGTGTTCAAAAGAGTCATTATCGCTTGTGAAGTGCAGAAATGAGTGTCAGGTAGATTATAATGGGCCATGAAGTCACTATGTTAAGTGCCCTGTTCTTAGTGTCCAGTAGGCTAATGCATTTTTGTTCCCAAGCTCATCTTTTGCAGGTGTTTTGTAAATTTGCCTTGAGCATGAGAACAGCGAGGTCAGGAAAGGAGTGGTTTTTCTGTGAAAAATGTTCTCCTACTCCTTTACCTCTTTTTTCTGTGATCATTCATTCTTGTGTAGGTTTTGCCTGCTTTTACCCACATAGTTTCCATGAGGGCATTTGATGCCTGGATCAGGTAAACCACGTTTTGAGGTCGACATGTTGGTTTCATTGTACAGGGCATTGATAGCTGTGGCAGTAGAGTTGAGCTAATGGGCTTTGCATTTATTGGGAAGGTAGGGCTAGGTCCTGATTGGTTGATCAGCAGGTAGTTGGCTCCTGATTATGAGTTGGGCAAGAAAGGCCAGGAGTGGGGAATATTTCTGTCAAGGTTTGGTCCCTTTCAAGTATAGGCTGTAATTGTTTGATGATCCTTTTTATTGGTTCCAGTGTGGGATGATAAGTGACAACCAGAGGTGTGTGGTCAGTGGGGGCTTTCTTGTATTGCACTAGGTTATTGCAGGGGGTTTGGGTGCGCTTTCAAAGATACCGTTTATTTCTCTGGTGGAGTGCTCATGTGGGGTAAAGGCAGTTTTTGGTTTGGTGAGATGAGTGTTACAAATATCCTTTTCAGGGCAGATGCAGTGGTATCTGAGGGCCTGACTATTGAATTATAAAATCATAGAAAATGAGGGTTGGAAGGGATCTCAGGAGGTCACATCTAGTCCAACCCCCTGCTCAAAGCAGGATCATCCCCAGCAAGATCATCTCAGCCAAGGCTTTGTCTACCTGGATTTTAAAAAAACTCTAACATGGATATTCCACAACCTCTGTGGGTAGTTTTTTTCAATGCTTTGCTACTCTTCTTGTGGGAAAGTTTTTCCTAATATCTAACTTAAACTTCCCTTGCTGCAACTTGAGACCACTGCTCCTTGTCCTGAGAACAGTTTATTTCCATGCTCTTTGGAAGCACCCTTCAGGTAGTTAAAGGCTGTTATTAAATCTCACCTCAGTCTTCTCTAGACTAAATCAGCCCAAATTCTCCAGCCTCTCCTTATAAGTCATGTCCCCCAGCCCCTTAACTTATTTTGTTGCTCCCCACTTGACTCTCTCCAATTTCTCTACCTCCTTTCTGGAGTGGGGTGGGTGGGCAAAACTGGACACAGGACTCCAGATGTGGCCTCACCAGTGCTGAATAGACGGGAATAATCACTTCTCTTGTCCTGCTGGCAACACACTGACCAATTCAGCCCAGTATGCCATTAGCCTTCTTGGCAAGAAGGGCACACTGCTGGCTCATATTCAGCTTCTTGTCCACTGTAAACTCCATGTCCTTTTTTGTAGAGATCAGTGCTTTATATTGGTATATGGGAAGATTGCTGGTTTTGTGGATGTGTGGTGGTCTGTGGTTTTTTTGTATACAGTGAGTCATAGAGGTGCCATCATGGTGCCCTAGAAAATTATAGATCATGGTATCTAGAGAGTTGATGTTAGCGTAGGAGTATTCTGGAGAGAGGTTGGTTGTGTTCTGGCCTGAGTGCCAGTGGGACAAGGACACTGTATCTGCAGTGTTTGCTTATGGACCTATATTGATCTTTGAGATTTTTCTTGAGGGACTGATCCCATTTCTACGCAGATATGTAGAATTTTTTTAATGGATTTAACTTCAGGGGGGAGGAGGAACTGCTGAGGGGTAGCTTGTCTGTGATGGCAGGAGATACAGGATTGAAGAGCAGTGTGGTTTGCTGGGTGAAATACTCTGTTTGGCCATGCAACACAGCAGAAATTTCTGAGAGGCAAGGAGCACATATAGGAAGCAGCTGCTGCAGTGAACAACAGAGATGGAAACAGGTAGGGAGGTTTTTGAACTGGTCTGTATTACTGTGTGAGAGGGTAGGTGCCATGCTGCTGACAGTAATAGTCTCCAGCATTGCCTGCTTCAACCTGGCTCATAGCGGGCGTGCAGTCACTGCCCAAACTAGGGCCACTGAACCGGTCTGGGATCCCAGATGGACGGGTGTTGGTGCTGTAGAGAAGGAGCTTGAGAGGTTGCCCTGACTTCTGTTGGTACCAGGCTATGCTAGAACCACAGTATGAAACAGCTTTGCAGTTCATGGTGGCTGTTTGTCCTGGAGACACGGTCAGGGACTCTGCAGTCTGAGTCATCACAATGTCGCCACTACAGCCTGCATGGAGGAGACAGAGAATTCAAATAGACAGAAGTCAGGGAATATGAACAAAAAAACCCATGAAAATCATTGTTTTGCTCTCAGGTTCTTTAAATGGTTCGTTCCTGCAGTAGTAAATACAGTTGCTATTGCTTTCAAAGCTATTCTGGACCCAAGGATGAAATCCACCTGTCTGGGTTGAGCCTGAGACTTGTAGCCAAAGCCAGTGCTACTTAAGTCAGGTAGCAGCCTTATCAGCTGCTTTGGGAGTACTCTTCCCTCCTTGCTGTTCTTACCATGACTCGAGAGCAGGAGGAGCCGAGTGTGAGAGATCATCTTGATGCTTCTGCACTGAGTGATACCACAATGCAAAGTGGTCTGTTTTATACCTGCTCACAGCAACAGCAGGAAGTCTCATGGGTAGAAACATGCAAGCCATCAGCTGGCGTACATGCAAACCAGCATTTGGCTTGTGCCCGGAGCGGCAGATGGAGGCCACGCATCTGGTAGAGCCCTCTCTATGTGACTTGGAGTGTGTCTTTGGAGTGTGTCTCCCGGTTCAATGAAACTCATTCTGCTTCTAGCTCTGCAGCTTCTTCTCAGTCTGCTCTTCCTTTCCCCACAGCCCAATTTCTCATTGAATTCCCAATGCTACTTTCCTTGATTTCTGCAGCATCCTATTCTCTGACCTCCAAACACACACTCACTCTTCCTTCGGTCCACATCAAATGCTGCTGACATTTGTTTCTCATGCCCCACCACTTGCCTCCACTCTCCCTGGGCTTTGCACATGCTGTCCCAACAGAGCTGAGCTTCTGGTCAACACCTTTGAAGACCCCCACAGCAGGTCCGCACCTCCCTTGCCACACAGTGATGCCCTGTACCCTCAGCTCTGACTGTGTCCCCATCCTCCTCCATCTCTCTGGTAGCTTCTCATCCATTCATTTCTGCACCTTCATGCTCAGCCTCTTCTCTGTATGTGGCAGCTGTTCACAGCTCCTTGATACGATCACTTCTGTGTCCATGATGAGTTTCCTTCAATAATATCATTTCTGCCATCCTGGTGCTGGAGGATCTCTGATGTCTATGAGCACCCCATTTGTTACACCCTTTGGCTTCTGCCTTTGGGTTGGGATATCTCTGGGGTAGTGGTTATCACGTTGTGAAATTTTGGAAGGAGCTAGCATGGTGTGAGTTGGACCTGCCAGGAATCGGGATAAGGATGTGTAAGTACAATTATTAGTAGCAGTGAGGCTGTGGACGTGAGTGGAGTGACTGGTGTGGCCTGCATGTTAAACTTGTGGATTCACTATTAAATTAGGATTTGACTTGCCCAACATATTTACCCCAGTTTTAGATCAATGCAGCTCTTAATCCCAACAGAATTAGCTCTTAATTCCTGGTAAACCTACAATGCCCCCACAGTTAGTAAATTCGCCCCTATGCCTTGTGGCGGGCCAGTAGGGGGCGCTCCTGCGTTGAGCCGCCCACCTCCCTGCTCCCGACCACCTTCCAGGCTCCGAGTGCCTCCCTGGGGTGCCTCCCGTCCGGCCGACCCCTTCCCTGGAGCACACCCGCTAGCCTGGGGTTCCCGCTGCCACCATCCAAGGCTCTGGACTCACTTCTGGCTCTGCGCACCTTGGAAAACACAGGCCTGATCGTCCAATGGGTGCTAGACCCAATACAAGCACTTGGGGCACTTCCCCAAGCCAGAGGCTTATTAGGAAGCCTCCCTTAGTCCACCGACCTAAGGGGCCTCCTTGGCATAATTTAGACCCACCCCTCAATAAGTCTCCACACCGGTCTCAAAGGAGAACTTTATTGATTACAGGGGTAGGGCAGAAATAGGGTAAAAGGTAGAGCAATATCAAGAAATCTTATAGGAATATCAAAGGAATCCCATAGAGCAAACCAGGGGGGCTGAGGTAGCCGTTTAAACACGCATCTGAATTACTGAAGCTAAATATCT